ATGGCTGAACCCAGGGCTGAGACAGGAAATTCACAAGATGAACTTAGAATATCTATATTTTGCTAAAAATGAAGAAAGATGGAGATAAGACAGAAGACACAGAAGCTGTGGTCAAGAGTCTTCTAACAGCCAAGTATACAACAATCTTCAGATAAAAATCAATGATAAAAGTAAGGGTCTACAATTCATGAAAACAGGAAACCATGAGTTTCTTATTTAAATAACAAATTTGATGAGAAATGTTAATATTTAAATAGTTGCAAAGTAACTTGCAAACAAATACTTCTAATTACAAAGGGAAAAATGCAAAGTCACAAAAGACTTTAAGACTTGAAAACTGGGTGAATGATGTAAACATCAACAGTGTTCTGTAGCCCTTCCCCTGAACTTAAACATTTCCAGCAGGGGGAGAAGGGAGGTCACAGGACTCAGGAAGTACATGAAAACTAAAGGTCACAGGAAACCCCCCAAAGCTGCAAGCTTCACAAGGCCTCACCCCAAGGTTATGAGGGCATCAATAGTTTCTAGGGTCTGAGACTGATGATGTCGTGAAAGCTATTAGGAGCTCTAGGGCACGCAGCTTTCCTAAGTGTCACTTGCACAGGGGGAAGCTTCTTGGTGATGTTTAAAACTGGTCTTGCTATATGCCTTAGCAGGCCTTGAACTTTGGGCAATCCTCCTGTCCTGGCCTCCCAAGTGTGGAAATTACAGGCATGTGCTATCACACAGAGGTAGATAGAGATTAAAAGCAATGTATGTTAATCCCTGATTTTTTATTCAGATATAGAGAATATTCTGTTTTTTGGAAAATACTGAGTTATTTGAGGCTTCAGGACACTAGTTTATAGATCACTCTCAAACGCACCAGAAAAAAGCAAAAACACCATATTATTTGTATTGTAGTTGCAATTGTTATGTAAGTCTGACACTTTTTAAAAATCATTATTAAATAAAATGAGAAAGCTAGGGGACTACTTTACTAGATTTTTGTTTGCTTGTTTTGTTTGTTTTTTTAAATTGGATTAATTCACTGCTATAACCATCCTGTGTACTTCACTTCATTGAAGACTGGCGCCATCAAGTGTACAAATGTGTGTAAGTTCACTTTAATTTGAAAGTGGACCCTCCTGGTCTCTTATTTATTTATTATCGTTCTAACATAAGAAACAAAGAATGAAACATGTAAGAGGAAAAGGATAAAAAACATAACCAAACCTTTCAGTGGTTCCACATTAGTAATATCAATACAATGTCAGAAGGGAAAAAGAAATCAAACAAATCCGGCATCACAAATGGCACAGCAGCAACTGACTACCGTGAATAAAATAGGAGCCTGCTGTTTAGTTCACAGAATTAGGAGGGTATGAGACACTCACAGTTCACTGTGGTAATTTCTATGGCAGAGTTGGGAAATGCCATTAGGGCAGGAAGCACAAAACTCCATTCCTCCTCCTCCTGCCCATTCCTCCTCCTCCTCCTCCTCCTCCTCCTCCTCCTCCTCCTCCTCCTCCTCCTCCTCATTCTCTCCTCCTCCTCCTCCTCCTCCTCCTCCTCCTCCTCCTCCTCCTCCTCCTCCTCCACTTTGGCTGTCAGGCTGAAGTCTTGTGGTATCAACATACAGTATCTGAGACCCTTGTATTTGAGTCTTGGATACTGGGCAGCAATAAAGAAGTTAATACTTAGTTTCACATTCTATTTGTCCTAATTGGCTTTATATTGTGTGATAAACACTATGATCAAAATACAGCTCAGGGGAGAAAAGGGTTTAATTCATCTTACTACTAACTCCAATTCACAGTCCACCCCTGAGGGAGTCAGGGCAGGAACTCAAAGTATGACCTAAAGCAGAGTTGGTTGGTGATGGCACAAGCCTTTAATCCCAGCACTCTGGAAGCAGAGGCAAGTGGATTGCTGAGTTCAAGGCTAGCCTGGTCTACAGAGTGAGTTCCAGCCAGGGCTACACAAAGAAACCCTCTCTCAAAAACCCAAAAAAAGAAGAAATAAAACCAAAACAAACAAATAATGAAAGAACTTAAGCAGAGACCATGAAGTAATGCTACTTACCGGCCTACTCGGCTATAACTTTTATACAATGCCAAATCATATGCACAGGGGTGGCACTGCCCCCAGTGGGCTGGTCAACCCCCCAAAATAAAAAAAAAAAACAAGCAAAGAAGAAATGAAGCAGACACCATTCATGGAATTCATGGAAGAAGAAACTGTGTGCATACCTGTGTGCTTGCGTCCATGTGTGAAGCCCAGGGATGCTTTCTAACTGAGATCTTCTGCCTTAGCTGGCTGGGTGCTGGTTGGAGTTACAAACTTGCCTTATCAGCCAGCAGAATCTATGCTTTCCTGTTGGAGATAGGCTCTTGGTGGTCCAGGCTGCCTCTGCACTCACTGTGTAGTGGAACATCACCATCAACCCTCTGCCTCCATCTTCCAAGTGCCGGGATTATAGGCACCTGCTACCACACCTGATCTATGTGGTGGGGGAAATCACACTCAAGCCCTGTGCATTTCAGACAGGCACTCAACCCATTACGCTACACCCCTAACCCTTAGGGAAAAAATGAAGTTTTTAACTTTAAATGAAAAGAAAATAAGTAGGATGAAAAATGATCAACTTAACAAGACATTTTAACCTATTCTGCATAAGCTATCTTCACTGCCTCTTAAAAACTAATCGAGCCCTAATTCTCATTAATTTAATTTAGAACTACATTATTTGGTCATCTCTAACCTGAAGGAATGCCCGAGATTCTTTATACCTGCACTCGATAAATCTGGAGTGTGGTACTTCTTCTAGAAAGTGTCCTGGGTCTTTTGGAATAAGCACATCTAGTCCATCTACAGTAACTTGCTGTAACTCTGACCTGAAAAGGAAACTTAAGAAGATTTTCTATCAACATTTAATCCAGAACACAGGCAGCCTTTTAAAATAATGAATATTAGCCAAGGAGCTAAACATCAAGTGAATTTTCTTCAAATACTTCAGGTATCAATCAACAACTTTATTAGGACCTTGGAAATTTGACATCCAATAGCAGAGCAGAATTTCAGTATTAAGTATTTTCACTAATGCAGCTTAATTTGGGAGTGAGGAGGGAATGGTATGGATTGAACCTAGGGCCTTCTGCATGCAACCACTGAGCTACATCACCCCTCTTTTTTTAAGACAAGTTCTTCCTAAGTTGACAAAGCTGGCACTGATTTGCAATCCTCCTGCTTCAGACTCCCGAGAGCGGGGACTATAGGCCTGTGCCACTAGGGCTGACTTGGTGCATCTAAAATAGTTTTATAGCTACTTTGGCATTTTAAGCAGAAATGAAAGTTGAACAACATCATTTTCAGTTATCAATTTAGTTTTAGAGAGGTAAACAGTTCTTACATCTAAGAAATACTGAGTTAAATTATAGTAGCTTGGGAGCCTCATTGACTGGAAAAATACTAGAAACCCACCTCCTATGAATATTTCTTGAGAACTTTCTATTCCTCTAGGTAAAACTTTATCTACTGGCACACATTACACTTACAAGTTATTTCTGAGTTGGCAATATTGAACTTAATTAAATTATTAACTAAACTTTGATATAAACTTTTAATACCTTAGAGAACTAAATGACTCCCCCCAACCAAAAAAAAAATGTTTGAAACACAAAGTAAGAAAAAGTGCATATGTGAATAGTGGCTAAGATTTCGACAAAAATAAAGGAAGAAACATTGACAAGAAACTGTTTCTTACAACCCACTAATCGCTTTTGGTCACTTATATTCCTGACTTCCCCAGTTCTGAACACCCTTTCAGCTGTTTCTCAAATTCGTGATGTTAAACACTAACAAGAAAACAAAAATACCCATGCATTTACAGTTCTAAAGCTAACAAAGCAGTGTTTCTCTGAAAGTGGTCACAAAAGATATCGATATGAAAATTCTTATAAGAATGATAGACTTTAAGGCAAAGGACAAACATTCACTGCTATATTCATATCAAGTTCCAGAGTTTCAGACAGATTATAACATCATTATTAAGGACTTCCGAGGAGAAAGACAAGTCTGACTCTGGGTCAGAAAGCTGACATTCACAGTCCGGTTTCCTGAGTCTCCTCAAGTACCTGTTTCCATTCAGCAGCGTTTACTAGTGTGGTAGTTAAGGACAGACTTCTACACAGAGTATTATTTTTATTCTCATGATCTGTCTTAGTTTTCTGAGGCAGGGTTTCATGATTACAGCCAGGCTGGCCTGCAACTTGTTCCTTGGCCCAGCCTCACCTGCAGCTTGCAACTCTCCTGCTTCAGCTTCCAGAGTGCTAGGTTTACAGGTATGAGTCACCACCTCAGGACACAGGGAAATTAAAATAACACACACAGACACACACACACACACACACACACACACACACACACACACACACACAAACACGCTCACTCAAGTGCATGTAAACATAAAGGCACAAAATAATGCGTCACAAGCATTTGTGTCTTCATCTTCATCACAGACACTGAATCTTGTCAGCTCCCCTGGAGGTCTCTGTACCCCACTCAGTAACTCTCTGTCTATCCTTCCCCTTCTAGGGATACATTCTATCTTCTTTGGGGATAACTTTTCCTTACTATTCTTAGTACCTTTATTCTATTTTAAATATATCCATGAACACAGTATAGCATATGCTATTAATCTTTTCTGCCTTGGGACACTCAGCATTGTAGGACCCATCCATGCTGTTGCCGAATTGCAGCAGATTTCGCTGATGTAGGAGTATACAGATTACATATAACTATAAACACATAATATCACTGATTTATCATTGTTTATTGTTATAGACTGACTTACCTGTCAAAAGCTCCAGGATAACGACCGAACTGTAACTTTGGAAAAGGAACAAACTTTCTGTCCACGTGTCCTTGGAGCCGCAGGTGACCATGCCAGAGGTAGTGGCCGCTCCTCTCATGAAAGAACACCAAGTGGATGACGTGAGTGGCCAGCTTACAGACACAGTGCAGAGGGATTTCAGTTCCAGAAAGTGAGTCCATCCCATCTAGCCGAGGATCTTTGCTTTCAGTCTTTAAGCACTGAAATCCCATATTCTCAGCTATCTGAAACCAGCCATCCTAGAATAAGGAAAAGATCAAGCCTGAATATTTTAAACCAAATGCTAATAACAAAACTGAAGCAATCGTTACACCATTAATGAAGCCATATTTTTGTCTTGATTTGCTTTTTGCCAGAACATTGTAAAAAATGACTGTAGGAAACAGAAGGTAGTGCGGAAAGAAGGAAGTAGCAAAACAAAGGTATGGGGAATGGAGAGTAGGTCTCAGGACTCTGAAAATAACACAAATTTCTCCCAAAGGAGAAGAATGCTCATTTAGTGTCCTCCCATTAGTTTCTATGAAGTAGATGTTAGTAGGAAGAACAGAAAAGCAAACTTACAATTCTTATCTCCTAACACTTGAAAAATGATATAACAGGAAAAGAAGATGGCGGTGGGGGCTAGGTGAGGTGTTGTGTAGGGGTGGGGAGCCACGGATCAATGACCCATGCAGGCCGCTGGGGCAGATGAGACCCCTGTCGCACTGCAGGTGTGGGCTGGAGGGAGGAGATAGTGACATAGGAGTATGACGGCTCTATGAGCTGGTATGATGGGTGCTGCATGGGCTGCTCTGAAATTATTCAATGGTATGGCCAGTGAATGCCCATCAAGCAATAGCATCTTCACCCACATTCCTATGTCTGTCTGTGTCCCCCTCCTTCCTCATCCACCTCAATCCTTCTCTCTGTCCTGCCTCAGTCTCCCAAGTCCTGAGACTACCGCATGAACCAGCTGGTTCTCTACTATCTCTATGAAATTAGGGTTTGTCTATTTAGTCCCATATTCCTAACTGCATCTCCATATACTGAATTAGTGATGAGATGGAAAATGAGGTTTAAAAAGTATAATGAACACATGTCAAAGGTCCCCTCCCACATACTCCCTCATAACAACACTGCAAAGTCATTATATCTAGTAGAGAGATGGTCCCAATACCCACACTTTTCATCATGTACACTATTATTCAAATGTTCTAGGTTCCTTATAAGTTAATAGTACTTTTTAAATGTCCAGGTTCAGAGAGTCAGAAGGAAGAAAGCAATGTTATCAGTAGTAATACCCTACACCTCCAAATAGTTTGAAACTAAATAGGAGAAAGAATGTTGGATGGTATAGAGGTAAGAAGAGTGTTTCAAGCTCAAAGAAGTTTAACAGCTCCTTATGCTTTCAATGAATTTCTACCTATGAAGTATAAATAACTGAGAGGAAGCTGACGGACAATTAGAATCGCCTCATCCTATGAACACAACATTCCTAAAAATAAGGCTCGTCTTCTTGTTAACCTGCACACTCAACGCCAGGTGCCAAGGCCAAGCTTTCTTTGTATTACCATGTCTGGCCTAGTGCTCGGTTAAATAAATGTTGGTACGAAATTGTTAACTGGAGGAGAAAGGAAGGAGGAAGAGTAATTAAGGCAGAGCCTGACTCAGTCTCTCACAAGATCTGCACTGTAGACAGTAAAATTTAATACAAATGGACATGTGAGAGAAACTAACAACTGAAAAATAAAAACGCAGGGAACATTGTAATCTTCAATCCTGACAAGTGATGGAAACTGTAGACAGAAATTTGATTTTCACTACAGCCCTACATTAGGAGAGGAGCCTGAATTTTTAAGCAGTTGAATTGGTTGAGTTTGGAGTAAGTACATTTCTAATGAGCTTGCAGATTATTTTATATAAAATTTACTGGAATAAGATCATATATCATAATTCCTACCATTTTGAAGTGTATAGTTAACTGTATAGTTAAATGTATGGATGTTGGAACACAGTCTAAAATGGAGTCATGCGAGGGGAATTCGGAGTGCTTGTGAGACAACTCCAAAAAAAAACAAGAAATCAAAATCATCTCTAGTAAAAATCCTCAAAATCCTCCTCAAGTCTCTGAGGTTTACAGTTATATACCCATGCAATAGCAGTGCTCTAGCTAAACAAGGTCACCAGGCTTGAATTCTTACAGGGTCATAAAGGCAGACAAGAGTTTTCTTTAGGCAGTGACTGTCAGGCTTTCTTTTATAACCCAAAGGGGGAGAGGTAAAGCAGGAGGACCACTAAGAGCTAAAATTGGTTAATATATCAGAAAAAGGGAATTTATGTGCTCAAACTACATTCCTAGGGGTGGTTAGGTAAATTTTAGGAGTCTATAATGTTAGTATAAATACCATTAAGGCTTTATAAGAAAGGAGGGTCTGAGTTTAATTTACCTTAATTCAGAAGATCATTTGGCCTTGGATGCTTGGTAGGTATTTCCAATAAAATGCACCATTATGAGTTCTTGGAAGCATACATAGCATACAAGGAAATCGTTGCAGGAATCAGCTAATATATACATACAACAGCTAAAATATCACCAAGACTTCTTAAGCCATGGCTTGACCTTAGGAAAATTCCTTGACCTTTCCAAGTAGTAGCTTTTGTGATAGCTGAATTCCATTACATTTTCCTGTGGCTTGCAGCACTTAACCCTCAGTGTATATATAATCCGATGCTCTGAATAAAGTTGGCTATCAAATGAGACTTTACTCCACCTCATTCTTAAGCCCTGCTCTCTAGGTTCATGACTCCAACGAGAGCAGTAAACATACAGTTACAGTAGTATTACTATCACCTCTACCTAGAACTTTACACCATTTCAAAACTACATTCTTATTAGCAGTCACTCCCCAGTCTACTTCCTCTGTGACACCAATATGAGCAATGCTGTCACAAAAACCATGTTTTGAATGGCAAACCCTCCTACAGACTCACAATTTGCCACTATTTTACTTGCTTAGTAAAACACACACACACACACACACACACACACACACACACACACACACAAACTCCAAAACTCCAAAAACCAAAGCCAAAACAAACAAACAAAATCCCACAAAACGGTTCATATTCACAGCTGGGCACGGCGGAGCAAACTTATAATTCCATTATTAGGGAGGCTAAGTCCAGAAGACCATTAGTGGGTTCTAGGCCAACCTGGACTATATAGTGAGACCCTTCATCACAAAACAAAGCAAATCAAGCAAGGGAATCCAACTCCTCACTTGTCTGCACAAGCAAGCACACAGCTAACTACAGCTGTAAACTGGTGTCACCGCCGGATCTCCAGGATGTAAGGTAGGCCTTCACTCTGTTGAGCAGTGCTACATTTCATTTCCTTGGCATTAATCCTCTCCTTCTCTTAGGTGACTTTTTCTGCTCTTTTTTCTTTTTAAAACATTTTCCATATCCCCTGTGCCACCATATTGCATTGCTTTCTCTTTCCTAAGAAAAGAAAAGAAAAGAAAAGGAAGTAGAGACCTTTCAAACCCTCCCAATACTTTACCACCAACTGAGAATACATTCAAACAGTGTGACTGCCCTCTTCTCCTAAGAGATGAACTGCCTACATTCCTCTTTACAGCCACTTCTCTACTGACTACATCTCAGGCCCTCTTGCTTGGCCAAAGACATCGCTCTGGTAGACCATTCCTATGAATATACAAACCCAAAATTATTTTTCCTATTAAAAATAATTACAACAAGAAACAAAACAAACCAAAACCTATTGACAGACCTTTCCTCCAACAATTTCTTTTTCTCCATGGTGCAAAACTCCCAATGTCACTCTCATTGCCTTTAATTCTTTCCTATCAATTCACTTGAGCTCAAATCCGCTCCGCCAGACACTCACAACTACCACTGACCTCCACAATGCTAATTCCATTGGTTGGTAGCTCTTATCTCATTTCATCTACCAGACTTGGTAGCATCTGCCTCACTGGAACGCTTCATTTACTGGACTCTCCAGAGTCCATACTACAGACATCTCCTGCACTGTCTCGCCTTTTTTTTTTTTTTAAATGTTTTCAAGGTTTCTCTGTGTAGTCTTGGTTGTCTTAGAACTCAGAGATCTGCCTCCTGAGTACTGAATGTGCCACTACTGCAGCAAGTCTAGTAGCTTTTACTTAAAATGTATTTTTTTATGTTTATGAGTATTTTACCTATACATATATACCACATGTGTGAAGTGTCTGCAGAGGCCAGAGAGTGCATCAATTTTCCTGGAACTGGAGTTACAAGAGATTGTCAGATACCACAAAAGTCAAAGATCAAGTGAAAATCTTTGCACAATTTTCCAAGTAACCCACTTTAAACTTTTCCAAAAGCCTTTTCTGCATATGTTCTACATGGCTGTAAGGTTAGTTCCCATTCCTAATGATAACGTAGGAAGTTGTTCACTATGAACAACTGCTGCCATTCTTCTTTCAAATCTTTCCTCTAACGGAAAATGAATTACTGAACAAATGCGAAGCTAGCCCGGAAGAACAGCCTGTGAGTGGCCTGCTAGTAATAAGGCACTGGGGGGGCTTGTCTGGTTAGGAAGAACAATATAAGGCTTGCTCCAGTTACTGCTTTGTCTTTTACTTAGCTATCAACCCCAATATTTTCAATTATCCTACAGCGTTCTGAAAGCCATCTCATCTCATATCTGCCAATCTGAACATACTCTATTTAGACAGACTTTTACTTATATTTCAGAGCGGCTGCAGTAAAGACACAAGCTTTAGGTCCTGAACACTTTAATCATGAGCAAGAAACACTCAATCTAGAAATGAGTTAACTCATGCATAAAACAGTGAGAAATCGGCTCACAAGGACTCTATAATCATTTACTTCAACTTTATTTTTATTTATTTGTTTGTTTGTTAGCTTATTAAGGGGTGGGAGAAGGTGTGTCATGGCACATGTATGGAGGTCAGAGGACAACTTTCATGAGTCCGTTCTCTCCTTCTACAATGTGGGTTTCAGGAATTGAACTCAGATTTTCCAGCGGGGAAGCAAGTGACCTTACCACTGAGGAATCTCACTAGCCTCTCAACTTGATTTTCAAAATAGTAATGTAAACCTTCAGTAGGAAACATAAGCTGCTAGAAGCTATTATCTTTGATCATATACATGTAGAAAACACTAAGTGAGATGCATCACATCAACTAGACTAGCTTAACTCAGTTGGTAATTTTGCTAAGAGTCCCAACCAAAGGAATCAAAGCTCTAAGAAATGACCAGCTGAAAGCCAGATTGTAGATGTAACAGTCTTATTAAATAAGAAACACAGAGCCAAATGCAGAGTTAAAAGCCCAAGAGGTCAGAGCAGTAGCTAAGAGCTGATACTAAAAACCCTTTCTTACCCTTCACTGCTGCTACCGTCCTTCCCCTCTGAAAGAGACCTACTTCCTGTGTATCTGTCTTTTTATTGACTTTCTGTTCTGCCTTCTCATTGATTGTAAACCCAATCACATGACCTTCTTGTCATTGCCTGTCTATTCAGACCTCCAGGTCTTCTATGGTTGGTATTGAGATTAAAAGCCTATGTCTCCATGCTGGAGCTGTATCCTGGAACACACAGAAACACACAGAGATCTGTCTGTCATGTGATCGGGATTAGAGGTGTGCACCACCACCGCCTGGCTTCTGCTATGGCTTGCTATTTGTTCTGAACCCCAGGCAACTTTATTTATTAACAAATAAAATCACATTTCAGAGCCGGGCGGTGGTGGCGCACGCCTTTAATCCCAGCACTCGGGAGGCAGAGGCAGGCGGATCTCTGTGAGTTCGAGGCCAGCCTGGTCTACAGCGCGAGATCCAGGAAAGGCACAAAGCTACACAAAGAAACCCTGTCTCGAAAAAACCAAAAAAAAAAAAAAAAAAAAAAAAAAATCACATTTCAGTTCAAATGAAATATCACCATATTTACCCTTTTCTATTTTAATAAAAAGAAAAAAGGAAAAAAGTCATAACTAATATAAGAAAAACAATATACAAAAGTACAATAACTATATACCACATATACAAGCAATAAATACCTAAACAATGTCTATTCCATTTGTATTTGACAAATTCAGAGAAAATAATTCCATTATCTATCCTATTTGGTAAGTCCAAAATGTACCTGATTCACTGTCTATCCTAACTTATATTACTAACAGAACTATCTTATAACGTCTTCCAAATTTATACACTTACAGCTCTTTAGTGAGTTTCTTTTCTGAAATTCTTAACAAGGAAAACTATAACTATCTAATCTTCAACTATAACTAACTAATCTTCAACTCCCTCAGAGACCCAATAAGGAAATAATATTACCTAATAAAAAATAAAAACAGGAAGTGCATGCAAGCAGCTTCCAAAAAAAAATGTAAGTTGACAGAAACTGCCAGCTGCCTGGACAGTCACCTGAGGTTTCTCTGCAGTGTTGGGGCATCATCTTCAGCCTATAGGCTTAGCGTATCTGACAGATTCATTTGTGAAGTAGGATGTACACAAGGTTAATAGTTCGACCTCACATTTGGTGAGAGCAGTCCATGTACCAGAAACACATGGATTCCACTAGTGTTATGTCACTATTCAGGATTTTAAATCCTGGAAATTGTTGATTTTTTTTTAATTCAGTGTCCATTCTTCTTGGCTGTGTGTGTGTGTGGCTTCATCTTAGCATCCCGTTCTTCTCCATATCCCTCTATTAAATGCCAGTCTACTATTGAGAGGTGTGAGCTTAGTTACTCTTCAAGAGTAACTGTTTCAGCTGCTGTTTCACTCCACATCAGAAGCCATCGACCCACTGCCTGTTCAGCTGCCTTCGAAGAAAAGGGCACTGTACTTTTTCCGGATTGCAAAGGCCACTTCAGGGATGGTGCCATATTGTCCTGGCCTCAGAAGATGCCTTTTGTTAAAGCCACAACCACACTTGTTTTGGCAAGAATCGGTAGTCCTTTGTTTCATGTCCTGTCTGACCTGTTTGTCAGCAGTTGATTCGAGGATACTTTGTTGTTCAGTGGCTAGCTTTTGCCACAATGAAAGTTAACTCCATATGCAGTTTCTTCAATGCCCATATTTTCTCTGAAGTAGATTGGTACTGCCAGGAGCCAACATGTCTCATAGTCCTAACAAAAAAAGAAAAATTTTCTAAGTTATTAAAACATTTTAAATGCCATATATTGTAGATCTCTGAAGGGTTTGAAGATGACCTGTCTATCTAAAATATATCTGCTCAATCTTGAAAACATACTTAATATGACTACAATTTCGATTATAATGTCTAACTACTAACTTCATTACTTTATATCCTAATAGTTGGTAATAACAACATTCAAGGATCAGCAAATTGAATTACATTGTCAAATCAACGGTATAAGTACAATATCTTGAACAAGATTAGAAATATTCATATAGCATTTTCTAACAATATCAATCTCAATATATATAATTTGTATACAATATAAAAAAATTCAATCCAATGTAAAGTATTTAAAACTAGTAACTGTCTTTTAAAAGTAGATTCAATAATCTATCTTTTAATCTATGTTGTATCTATATCTTCTCTTTATTTTTCCAAGTAGATTCAATAATCTACCCTCTATTCTATCATTTCTATGTATTTTTTTTAAACAAGAACCTTAAATCTAATCTCCTTTGCTTAGCCCTTTTCCTAAACCTTAACAACTTGTAACCAACCATCCTAAACAATGAAAATTATTCCAGACCCAAAACACATTAAAAGACCAAAAAACCAGCTGCCCTACACCACCTCTTTGGGAATGTGGGTGTTGTATTCTTAAAATTGCTTCCTGCTGGATATGGGCAAAGGTATCTTTATTTTGAAAAGAAAAATTTTGGGTTAATTGTCAAATTCTAGGAAAGGTAGCTATATCCTTTGTTATCCAGTCTGTGCATAATGCCAAAGTTCAGGGTTTATCTCAAGTCCATATTCAAGTAGTCTTTGAAACTGGATCATCTCAGCTAGCCATCTCAAAATTGCTCTGAGCAATTTGTTGTCCAAAGCTGATCTGTAGATGATGTTTGTCAGCTTAGTGGTATTATTATTGTCCACGTGGAATTGTTGTTGTGGGGCCCCATCTTCTTCCTGGAGACTTAAGTGGTTGTTAGGCCTGGCTGTGATTTCCTGCAGAAAACTGATAAGAGACTCGAACACAAAGACATGTATAGGCAGCTAATTGAAGCCTTTTTTCTAGAATTAGTTAGTATTCTATATGACCAATAATATCTTAACAAAGTTTAAAATGTATATATATATATATATATATAAATCTTGTAAATTTTGATATAAAATTCATACTTTAAGAAAAGTTTAAAGAATCAGAATAGAATCAAAGAATTGAGATTAGTAGTTATAGAATAGTTCCTTAATTAATTTGGTTTTTCTTCTGTCCCATATCAGAAGATGGCTCTTTCTTCTGGCATGATACAGGGAATTTGCATTTTCCTTTTAACAACATGCTTGAGTTTAAAGAAGGAGAGAGCCATTCTCCAACTCCAAAGTCAGCTTAAATTTTAATTGAACTGGGACTACAAGAAGACCAATAGTGTTAAATTTCTTTAGAGAAGAGCAGAAACAAACATTTAGGAAGACTTATGAAATTTTATAGATGATATACCAATAGGCCATTTTACTCTTTTTCTTGGGACATTTTTTTCTAGGTGATTTGTCCTTTTTCTTCAGATGTCTCATTTGTCCAGTGTTCTTCAGATTCCTTAGCCTTCATTCTCCTAAAAGACAAAAACAAAAACCTTTCCCCAAGACTAATTTTGGGGAGGTTCCCTTTTGGCAAGTTATATCTGATTAAAGGAAAAGGCATGTGTTAATGGTATAAGTTAGTTTAAATTGAATGGTCACACTGGTTGATGAACTATCACCTCTTCTAATTAAGAGGTCTCTCTTGTTCAATTCGAACTTTTATCAATTTTGATGGTATCCACAGCTTATCTTCTCCTGTAGAAACAAAAGCAAAACCTTGTCCCTAATGTAACACATATCCTGGTTTCCATTCTGAGGTCAGCACATCCTTAAAGTATATAGGCTGATTTAATTCTGTAGTTTTTTTCTATTATCCAATGTCTCTCTGCAACTGTTGTTCCTTTCTCATTAGCACTGAGAAAATTCAAACTTAATAGAGCATTATGCAGTCTATTTCTGGGGGCTTTTGTTACCCCTTTCTGTTTATTTAGCATATCCTTTAGAGTTCTGTTTGATCTTCCTATAACTGCTTGGCCTGTAGGATTATGTGGTATACCTGTAATATGTTTTATATTGTAATAAGCAAAAAACTGTTTCATTTTACCTGAGACATATGGTGGAGCATTGTCAGTTTTAATTTGTGCAGGTATACCCATGATGGCCATAACCTCCAGCAAATGAGTAATTACTGAATCAGCTTTTTCAGAGCTCAAAGCAGTTGCCCAGTGAAATCTTGAATAAGTATCAATGGTATGGTGTACATCTTTCAATTTTCCAAATTCTGCAAAGTGAAACACATCCATCTGCCAGATTTCATTCCTCTGAATACTCTTTGGGTTACATACTGCTGATAATGACGTCTGATTGTAAAAGGAACAAGTAGGACATTTCCTTACAATTTCCTTGGCTTACTGTCAGGTCATGGAAAAATTCTTTTTTAAACCTTTACTATTGACATTTTTTTTATGAAATTCTGAGGCCTCCAGCACATTTCCTATCAATAGTTTATCAATCTCATCATTACCTTGTGCTAGAGGCCCTGGCAGACCCGTATGGGATCAGATGTGAGTTATATATAAAGGATGACTCCTTTTCCTGATTGTATCTTGTAACTGAATAAATAGTGAAGTTAATTCTGAAGCATCAGGGATAAATTCTGCAGTCTCAATATGTAATACCACTCTTTCAGCATAATGAAAGTCAGTAACTATGTTGAGAGGTTCTGAAAAGTCCATTAATACCAACAGAATAGCATACAATTCCAATTTTTGAACTGAATTAAAAGGACTTTGAACCACTTTACTTAAATTTTCTGATTTGTAACCTGCCTTTCCTTGTTTGTTGGCATCTGTATAAAATGTATGAACTCCAGATATGGGTTTTTCCCGTACAATTCGAGGCAAAATCCAATCAGCTCTCTTTATAAGATCAATTCTATCACATTTGGGATATTTGCTGTTAATTTCTCCCAAAAAATTACTGCAAGCTCTTTGCCAAGGTTCACTTTCTGACCATAATTTTTCAATGTCCTTCTTAGTTAATGGTATGACCATTTATGCTCGGTCTATTCCTGCTAACTGACGAAGTCTCAATTTTCCTTTCCAAACCATGTCAGAGATTTTTTCCACATAAGTTTTTAATTTTTTATTCGGTTTATTTTGTAAAAATATCCATTCCAATATATCTTCCCTCTGCATTAATATTCCTGTAGAAGAATGCCTAGAGGGTAAAATAACCAAAATGCAATCCAGCTTTGGATCGATATGGTCCACGTGTACTTCATGTACTTTCTTTTCTACCAAGGCCAATTCTTTCTCAGCTTCAGGTGATAATTCTCTTGGACTATTTAAGTCCTTCTCACCTTCTAAGGTTTTGAACAAATTATTCAGTTCATCATTTTTTACCCCATCAATAGTTCGTAGATGAGAAATGTCTCCAAATAATCTTTGAAAGTCATTAAGAGTCTGTAGTTGATCTCTCCTAATTTGCACCTTTTGGGGTCTAATTTTTTGTAGCTTTATTTTATATCCTAAATAATTAATAGAATCTCCTCTTTGTATCTTTTCAGGAGTAATTTGTAATCCTTAGCAAGGCAAAATTTTCTTTACTTCTTCAAACATTCTTTCTAAAGTATCTGCATTTGAATCAGCTAGTAAAATATCATCCATATAATGATAAATTATAGATTTAGGAAATTTTTTATGTATCACTTCCAATGGCTGTTGTACAAAATATTGGCACACAGTTGGGCTATTCAACATTCCCTGTGGGAGGACCCTCCATTGATATCTCTTAACCAGTTGAGAATTATTATAAGTAGGCACCATGAAGGTAAATCTTTCTCTGTCTTTTTCTTGTAAGGGTATTGAAAAGAAACAGTCTTTTAAATCAATAACTATAAGAGGCCAACATTTGATAACAGAGTAGGCAAAGGAATTCCAGATTGTAGAGAGCTCATTGGCTGAATTACTTTGTTAATTGCTCTAAGGTCTGTTACCATTCTCCATTTACCAGATTTCTTTTTAATAACAAATACAGGAGAATTCCAAGGGCTGGTTGATTCTTCAATATGCTGAGCATTTAACTCTTCTTCTACCAGATCTTCTAAAGCCTGGAGTTTCTCTGTTGTTAAAGGCCATTGATGAACCCATACAAGCTTGTCTGTTAATTATTTTAAAGGTAGAGCTGTTGGTGTCTTTGGAAGATCATCAGTTGTTGTGCCCTGTTCTTGTATAATATGGATGGCTGGTGACTACTCATTAGAATAATAACTTCTAATATTTCTCTCAGAAACATGTGCTAGTTTATGATTGTTTCTGAGGTCTGAGGGATATTAATCTGAGTATTCCATTGTTGCAACAGGTCTCGGCCCCACAGGTTCATAGCTATGTTAGCCACATATGGTTTTAATTTTCCTCTCTGCCCTTCTGGACCTATACATTCCAGCCATCTTGCACTCTGTTTCACTTAAGATAATGTTCCAATTCCTAACAGCTGAACGTTTACCTCCTGAAGAGGCCAAGTTGGATGCCAAAATTCTGGTGCAATTATGGTCACGTCAGCACCTATGTCTACCAGACCAGACAACAAAACATCATTTATTCTTATTGTTAACTTTGGTCTTTGTTCATTTATAGAAGTTTGCCAAAAAAATTTTCTTTATGTTTTCTCCTGAATTTTCTTTTCTCTCTGTCTCAGCTGTTTCATCACCCCAAGCAGCCTGGTTTATTCAAATTGGCATTTGGTTATTTAATTGCTCTGAGTAGAGGTTTCCTCTATGACTGCAGGAAAGGTCTGAACTGGATTTGCTGTGGGGGCCTTCCTGAGGCCCCTCTGGGAGTTTCCCAAAGACCAAGGCAAAGTATTACCTTGTCTGTCCCTTGTTGATCTACATTCGTTGGTCCAATGTTTTCCCTTACCACACTTTTTGCATACTCCAGAAGGGGCATTTTGTTGCCATTGTTCCTTGAATAAACATTGTTTCTAGAAATGCCCTGTTTACAGTCCCTTTTCAAATGTCCTTGCTTTCCACATCCAAAACATCTGACATTCCTCAAATCTCTTGAAATTGCTTCTCCTATCCACATATCATCATGGTCATGAGCCTCAACATTAAACGTGTCTCTAATCCAATCTTCCAAGGGTACAGATCTTGCCTTTAATGGCCTGATTATTTTCTTGCATGCTGCATTGGCATTCTCAAAAGCCAAAGATTCGATTATTATCTTGCTAGCTTCTGAATTTGGGACCATTCTATTTACTGCTGAAGTCAGTCTTTGTAAGAAATCCGTGAAGGATTCTTTTGGGCCCTGTATAACCTTTGTAAATGACTCACTCTTCTTTTCTGGTTCCTCAACTCTGTCCCATGCTTTCAAGGCTGCCATTCAACATAGAATTAGGGTTTGGATATCATATAACATTGTGTTTGCATTGCAGTATATTGGCCGTCTCCAACAAGCTGATCCTGGGAGATTTGTATACCTTTAGCCCTCCATTGATTTTCTGTTTTTAGCTTCCTCTTTGAACCACATACGCCACTGCAGCTGTGCCCCAGGTTCCAGAACAGCATTTACCAGCTCTTGCCAGTCCTGTGGTATAATCATATTATAGTTGACCAGGAGTTTAACATTTACTTTACAAATGGGGATAGCATGCCATAAGATACTATTGCCTCCTTAAACCTTCGTAAATCTAACATTTCAATGGGAGTCCAAATATTTTGTGCATTGACTTGACCAGGTAGCTGCTATATGGTTACCGGATAAATTAAGGGTGATTCTGTGAAAACAGGCTTTCTTTCTATAACCTTATATTCCAATCCTGAAACAATTTCACTGTTAGTTTCTTCTGTCTGAATCTGAATTTCTCTATAATTCATTTTAACAATTTTAACAGGTTTTTCTAGAGCTTTTATCCTGGCACTTAAATTGACTTTCTTTTTAAATAGTAAAATAAGGATAAGGAAAGTAATAATGTGCATAATCCCATCAACATTACTCTTCTCATATAGTTGTTCCATTGTCAGACTACCTAAAATTTTATCAAACATAGACCAATTTTGTTCCAATGTACACATAATACCCATTTTTTTAATGTAGAAAAAAATTCTCTTTTAAATAGTGTTTTCCTTTAAAATATCTATTAATTGACTTACAAAGACTGCGAAGAACAGTAGAAATCTGAGAGAATTTCAAAACAGCTACCTAGCATCCGAGGTGTGAATCCAAAGAGAGAGAGACAGAGATGGAAAAAAAGAAAGCAAGAGAGCATAGCCATGAGTTCTGGCTGAAAGCTTAAATCCAGCCACGTGTTCCCACTTGAGCCGAGTTGAGCCTGGGCACTGGCTTCCTTAAGATCCGACCATATGTGTTGGCATTTCAGCCAAAAGCAGCTCTATCTGCAGTTGCGTGTAGCTACTGCAATTAGCGGTAGCTCCAGCAGGGCAGGCCTGAGTTGTTTGTAGCACCGGTGTAGCTACGGTCGGTCAAGCCTGGGGCCTAGGCCGAGCTGGCCCAAGGTGGGGAGCCGAGGAGCCAATGGGCCGCCAAGCTGCCAAGCTGAGCCGAGCAAAGTGGTTTTTAATGAATTCGTGCCATGTGTGAGCCAAATGTAGATATAACAGTCTTATTAAATGAGAAACACAGAGCCAAACGCAGAGTTAGAAGTCAAGAGGTCAGAGCTGATACTAAAAACGCATTCTTACCCTTCACTGCCGCTGCCATCCTTCTCCTCTGAAAGAAACCTACTTCCTGTGTATCTTTTTATTGACTTTCTGTTCTGCCTTCTCATTGGTTGTAAACCCAACCACATGACCTTCTCATCATTGCCTGTCTATACAGACCTCCAGGTCTTCTATGGTTGGTATTGAGATTAAAGGCCTGTGTCTCCATGCTGGCTGTATCCTGGAACACACAGAGATCTGTCTGTCATGTGATCGGGATTAGAGGTGTGCGCCACTACTGCCTGGCTTCTGCTATGGCTTGCTATTAGCTCTGACCCCCAGGTAACTTTATTTATTAACAAATAAAATCACATTTCAGTACAAATGAAATATCACCATACCAGATGACTGAAGAGAGACTTAAACTCTGATCCCAGACTCAAGAATCAATACTACTGCCAGGCAGTGGCGGTGCACCCCTTTAATCCCAGCACTCAGGAGGCAGAGGCAGGTGGATCTCTGAAAGTTTGAGGCCAGCCTGGTCTACAGAGCTAGTTCCAGGACAGCCAGAGCTACACAGAGAACCCCATGACAAATAAGAATCATTACTACTGCTATGACTATCAAATAAGAGAAAGAAAAACTGGTGAAGAAAAAAAGCTAAGAAAAAGCCATCTGCAGTTCTACAGAACACTTTGACCAAGAGGAATGCAAGGAGGGGCTTCTCCAATGTCTGTGACCTGGACTTCTGGATCTTAGAATGTATGTCTGACAAGTCCAAAGGTGATACTTCTGACCACACTGAGCACAATTTCCACGGGAAAGTGAGAAAGTGTTTAGTCAAGGAGGACAGTATCTGTTTCTTTGTGAAGGGTGTGTGTGTGTGAGTGTGTGTGTGTTTGTGTGTGTTAGAATGCTCATGTGTGACCCTGGTATTTGCAAGGGTAAAGAACACCTTGGAAATCATTTTGGTCTTTCATCCTTGGTGTCAACTCCGATTATTTCTTTAGAGTTAAAAATTTAGTATGTATATACTTCTTACCTCCACTCAAATACAAGATCTTGCTTAAATATTTTTAAAATGTCCTATTGTGTTTAGCTTTATTTCTTCAAGAATACTAATACCTGTTTCACTTAATAATCTAAGATTCCTGTCTTATGTTTTCTGGTTATAACGAGAAACTGGCAAACTATGCTAGCTATGTCTTCTTTCCTTTTCCTATTTATTTCTGCTTGGTTATTTTATTTTGTACTATAACTATGTTATTTTATTCTTATTGGTACAGTGTTCCGCAATGACCCTATATACCCTGGGCACACTCAGTCTCTCTGCAGCTTATAAAAAAAAAAAAAAAAAAAAAAAAAAAAAACAGATATGTACTACTTACTTTCAGTATTTGCATAGTTTAAACAGATGTCAGTAGAGTTTGCCTGTGAGGTCACACTTTACTTCCCCTGATAAGCTACAGGATTCATCATTGCCCTGTAATGCTAAATATTCTCAATTAATATTCAATTACACAGCACCAACTGTAGGGAATCTGATCTGTTTTGATGAGATGCAGAGTGGAAGCACACATATTTCCTATCTTGTTGACATAGACAATGTAATGATAGTGATGAGCATATATTCATTTTTCTTTGGTCTTTGTGTATTCTTTTAACATATAAAGATTTCTATGTAGAAAACTTTTGGAGTCATTTAAATACTTTCATTGCAACACTGGGGTCTCTATTTCCAGAACTATAGTAAGTACATCTCCTTTCTTTCCTATTTCAGTTTGTTCAACTTCCAAAGCCTGTCATCAAGCCACCTCACTGAGGCTTCAATGCTGACTTTCCATCCTAATGTCTGTTATTTCTCCTTGTGTGTCTTTTCCTCCTGAGCTCTGCCAGACTGCTCTCTTATAATTAATTCCTAGCTCTTGAGCCAATGAACACTGTCTTTATTTTTTGCAGGGCTACTAACTGAACACAAGGCTTCTATCCCAGATTGGCAAATTATCACCGAGGTACAAACAACAATGTCATTTCAGAGATTTTATTTTTTATTTTTATTTATTTATTTAGAGATTTTTAAAATGATTTTTAACTGTAAGTACATGCATGGGTATGTTTGGATGTGTGCAGGTGCACATAAAGGACAGAGGTGGCCAATGACCCTGGAGCTAGAGTTATAGGGGGTCATTGAGTCACCCGATATAGATACTAGGAAGCAAAATCAAGTCACTCAGAGTAGTGTATGTCTTAACCACTGAGTCCTCTGTCTTTCATTTTAAAAGTTTAACTGTTTCATAAACTACCCCAACACTTAGACCTGTACAATTTCATCATGGGTTGTCACTTGTTTTCTGGCTTATTTTCTTCTTGTTGTAGCATTTTTCATGGATCATGCTCATTTCCTTTTATTTACTTACCTTTGAATGGCCTGAGCACCCCAAGACCAGTCATTCAAAGGAATACTGGGGGAGGAGGGAACAGCATTATATTCTAGACTAGATGGAAGTTCTTTCCAATAGAACAGTTTATACACATGTGTTTGTGAGAAAAATGGATAATACATATTAGATACTAGGAACAGTTGAAACATTACTCTTGTCATGATGTCAGAAACAGGTACCAAAGAGTCTCTGGCAATCTCTCCCTCCATTTTCCTGCTGTAAGGATAGTGCACTTGTGTATACCTTATTTGCTTTTCTTCTTGCTAGTTCATGCTGCCAAACATCTATGGATGCTCCCATGCCTCCCTATATGTCCTGACCTACTGTAAACAGAAGAGCCAAGTCTCTGTTCTGTTAGTTCAGAGATCTCTTTCTACAAGGATCTTCCTTTTACAGGTGACAACCATTTTTCAAATATTGCATTTTGCAGTTACAGCAATACTTGTCTACGGGAATCTGTATTGTGTTGTTTGAGCATAACTTTAGACAGAATAGAGTACAAATATTTTTACTCTGCCATTTTAAATGCTAAGTTTTGGTGTGGAGCTTTGAAACAATTTAAATGAACTGACAGAGCTGAAGCCACATAAAATAAGCACTGTAAGAAAAAAAATAAGATCAACTACTCAAGAGAAGGACAACAGAGATGAGAATTACCTATCCTATCTGCAGATAATGTATCAAGGTGATGGGATAAAACCAGAATTGTCTTTACTAAACTGTGAAAATTAGCAGCAACTATCAACACAGATGGTGGTCCTAGCGCCTGCTGTCAGCTGAAACTTGTTACAACGGTTTCATCATACAAGGATAACAATTATTTCTCACTCTCCAGATTTAGCTATTCCTCATACAAGTATTAAATAGCACATCAGTGTAATGCACGCTGCTTCCTGGTGAAATTTAAGCCAACCTTCAGACTACCACTGTTAAGCCTCTCTAAGCCCAACTATTTTAAAATCCAAACTACTAAACTGTTGTTTTTTGGGATCTATCACTATTTTACAACTAATACAACATTAATTCATTAATAATATAGAAACCACTTAAACAAAGCAATGGGACAGTTTTAAAAAGAAGTATCTCACAGCAACATCATAAACCCTGGCTTCTCAGAGGCAGAGGTCCTACATCCAGATAATATTAGTGTACATAGTTCTTATTTGTGACATTTTAGCCACAATTATAAAAACAGTAAAAAGGATAATGCATTTCTTACTTTACACAAGCGTAAAGAAGATATTGCATCATGTGTAATGGACAATAGTACAAAGCTAATAAAATAAGCAGAGAAAAGGGGAAAACAGAGGGCAAACGTACAGCTGATTGCTTATCATTTTACCTCATTATATCTCTTCCAGAGATGAAAGTGCAGCTTTGGATGTATATATAAGGTATTTAATGTTTCTTATATTCTCCTCTATTAAGTAATTTAACATTAATATTTCAAATTATGTTGACAAAATAGCAAACGTTAGGAGTGTAT